AAATTTAGGCAATTAACTTAATTTAGCTTTAAAACGTGTGCTAGATGGTTTGAAATTGTACCTTCTTTTCCAACCAAACCTGACGTCTGTCATTTCTGACAGCGACCGTTATCGTAGCTCTCTGAATCTCCCACAGGGTTGTCGCTGGACTTGGCGGTGCAGGGTTATGCCAATATCCAGAACAGCCATGATCCATAAATTAAACGTATATTATTCACGTTTTATTATTAATTTTGATCCATAAACCATGAAAAATTACTCCATTACTCCGTATCTACCGAGGGAGGCGACTCTATCTACGATGCAGGGAAAATAGTGTTTTGCTGTGCTTTGCTGCGCACACGCTGAGTAGATAGAAAGAAGATTGATGACGATTCTGAAGATTTCCTGCAAAAATATTATGCGCGATGCAAGTAGATGCGAGAAATGAAAGAAGATTTTTCGAAGATTGATTCGCTAGTGTGAGATTTGTTGAGCACCTAGAATTGAGATTTAGATGTGTCGCCCCCTCGGTAACTACTTAGATTTACTGTCCTGCCGTGTTTTTTTAGGTAGAGGTGCGGAGCGATGGTCAAGCGTCTAGCTTCCAAAAGAAGCTTCTATAATAATCTTCTTAAGAAAATATGAAAAATAAATGGTAATTTTATTTTTATTTATTTATTTATTTATTTATTTATTTATTTATTTATTTGTCGTCAATCAGTGTAGACCGTTTTACAATTGTTGTCTTAAGAGCTATGTTTACAATTTTGTCTTTGTTTATATTTTTTATAATATGTCTTGAGAACAAGTTAAAACATTACTTCTAGCTGACGTTATGCGAGGAATTAAAATATTGCTTTAATTTGGTTTTTGTCATTGTAAAGTCAATGTAATCGCAGTGCTTATTATATGTATCCATCATTTGGTACAAGGGTCCAAATTTGGCATAATTCGTACGATGACGATTTGTAGCAAATATATTTCTATTTCGTAAATGCCTAGATGGTGTATATAAATTTAAGGATGACAATAGTTCTATTGAATCAATTCGATGTGATACGATATCGTTTACGAAAGAAATCATAGCAAATTCACGACGCTTTTTTAATGTTTGGATATTTATGAGCATACACCGAGCTGTGTAAGATGGCAGAGGAAATACAGTCCAACCTAACTTGCGGAGTGCATACAATAGAAACTGCTTTTGAACGGACTCTATTCTTTCTTCGTGTGTGATTGAAAAAGGTGACCAAACTATGCTGCAATATTCTAATATCGATCTTACATAAGCAATGTACAATGTTTTTATCGTATACGGATCGTGAAAGTTATATCAGAAACGTTTTATGAAAGCAAGCATGTTGTTAGCTCTGTTAATAATTGTGTTATAATGATCGGTGAAAGTAAGTTTTGAGTCCAAAATAACACCTAGATCCCTGACTCTATCACACTTTTCTACGATATGGTTTCCTAAAGTGATTGTTATATCGGGTAGGGTTCGTTTTCTACTAATGGTAATTGAGTTACATTTTTTTATATTTAATTGTAGCAAGCTTTTTTGGCACCAAGTATGGAATATCTGTATTTCCTCTTTGAATGTGATGATGTCTTTGGCATCTTTTATTTCCAAAAAAAGTTTAATGTCGTCAGCATAGATTAAAATTTTCAATTTCTTAATAATGAAAGATATGTCATTGACGAAGAGAATAAATAAAAGCGGTCCTAAATGGGAGCCTTGAGGAACTCCAGAAGTGACATCAACGGGATATGATGTCTTTCCTTTGTATTTTACTATTTGATGGCGGTCAGTTAAATATGATTCAAGCCACTTGAGGAGTGCGTAATGAATTCCCATTTTTTTAAGTTTAAAAAGAAGCATGGGTATGTCAATTCGATCAAACGCTTTGCTGAAATCTGTATACAACACTTCTACATGGTTTCCGTTATCCATTGCATTCAACGAATAATTAATTAATTCGAGCAAATTCGTAGTTGTTCAACGGCCTTTAAAGAAGCCATGTTGCGTAGTAGTTATTCTGTTTTTAATTTGAAGAAAGAGTTTTTCATTTACAATCGCCTCGAAAAGTTTCGGAATGCAAGAGATAATAGCTATACCACGATAATTACGTATGTCGGATTTTTTGCCCGATTTAAAGATGGGCACTAAAAACGAGTTTTTCCATATTTTAGGGAAGTTTCCGGATTCCAGTGACATATTGAAAATCCAAAATAATGGAGCAGTAAGTTCAGTTGCTAAAGCTTTCATAAAAACTGGCGGAACACCGTCAGGGCCAGGACCTTTAGATGCATCTAAATTGTTTAAACCCTTTAAGATATCATGAACCTTGATTTGACTTACGCTGATGTCACTTGAAAATTCTGGATAAGATTCAAAATATTCACGGTCACGGTCCTCTTCTGAAAACGTAGTATAGATTTCTTGGAAGAAATTTGCAAACAAATTGCATATATCATCCGAGTTCTCACCTACCCTATCGTCCAAATGCATCTTTGATGGAAAATTATCAGATTTTAATTTGGTTTTCACATAATTGAAGAATTTCCTAGGACAAGATTTTATTTCAAGTTCAGTTTTTAAATTGTACTCCTCAAATGCCATATTCACGGCTAAATTTAACTGATCGCAAATGTCTAAATAGTATGCCAAAGTTTCTTCACTATTATATTTTTTATAAAATTTGTGCACTTTTTGCTTTTGATTTTTTAAATTTTTTAGTTCCCTGTTGTACCAAACCGGATGTTTTGCATGACTCTGACGTCTTCTTCTTTTAATTGGCACTTCTTCAAGTATTATTTCAAGCAACACATTGTAGAATACGTCAACTGCACATTCAACATTTCCTGCAGTTCTTAATATTGCTTGCCAATCGACAATGTTCAATCTATTTCTAATGTTATCATAATTTGCTGAATTGTAATCAAAGATTTCATCAAATTCGCAGTCGTTGGTTCTTTAATTTATGTGAACGAATAAAGAATATTCTATTGCTGTGTGAAACATTTCATTTCTCCATATGGGACTTAACGATTCAGTCACACAGAAATCTTCATAAGTATTTGTTAATAAAAGGTCTAAATAACAATTTTGTTGATTTTTCACATGGTTAATTTGATTAAGTCCTAAATTTGCAATTTTGTCAAAAATGAAATGGAGTGTTTAATTTTCCCCAACGACTGGAAGTAAGATGCTTTCATTGTCCATATCAGAAATAAAGTCAACATTGCATTGGTTAAAGTCCCCATATATATATGTACTTTTACTTCAGGGGGTAAACTAGACAAAATTTCTTCCGCTTTTCCAAAAAACCTTTTTTTTTTTTAACTAGTTCGTTTATTTACTAGGCTCAGTCGTGTGTGACACTTTGCGGAGCCAAAATCAGTAATGTTTGATTTACATTTTAAATAGCAGTATTTCTAGGTTAGTATTGGGTACCAATTACTCGTGGCGGGCTCGAGGTTAATAGGTAACAATTTCAATTGGAAGGATCTAGGTAGGAAACTGGTTTCTGAAGCCTCCTTCAGATACTACTCTCGGACGGTTGACCAAATCCTGGCTGGGCAGGGGCAAGTAGCACAGGAACAGGAGGATAATAAGACTGGGACACAATGGCGGGAAATTGTTTGGAAAGGAGAGGATAGTCACATCAAAATCTAACATCAGACAAACAAAGGAATTCGTAGATCGCTTGCATGTAGGGAAGATCACGTGTTCCCAATACATCTCTTACTTCACGGAAGGGTTGTCTACCTCGGGCCACTAGGGTATCCAATAGTTGTGCTCTGGAGGCGTCATTACCCGGGCAATACCAAACTGCGTGATCGATGTCATCATAACCGGTTCTGCACCTACATATATTGCTGTCAACGAGGTTTATTCCACAGAGATGTGCGTCTAGCGAGTAGTGGTTGGACATAAGTCTTGACATAACTCGAATGAATCCCCGACTTACATCCAGACCTTTAAACCACGCTCTCGAAGAAACATTTGGAATAATGGAATGTAACCACCGCCCAAGAGAATTACTTGTCCAATCGTTTTGCCAACTTAAAAGAGAACTCTGACGTACTAATGGGAAAAATTCATCATGTGAAATTCTTCTATCATAAATCTCGCCTTGTTGTGCGCCCACCTTTGCGAGAGAGTCTGCCTTCTCATTGCCTGGGATTGAGCAATGTGAGGGGACCCATACAAAGGTAATCATATATGATCTTTCGACCAGCAAACTCATCTGCTCCCTTACCTTTGAAAGGAAATAAGATGAGTGCCTACCTTGTTTCATCGACCGAATAGCCTCAATCGAACTGAGACTATCCGAGAAGATGAAGTAATGGTCTATGGGCATATCGGAAATCATCCCCAATGCGAAGTTGATTGCTGCTAGCTCAGCAACATAAACGGAACAAGGTTCCTGAAGTTTCCGAAAGGCGGTTGAGTATTCATTGAAGACGCCGAAGCCAGTGGATCCATCAATGCGTGATCCATCAGTGAAAAATCTTCTATTGCAATTGACTTGTTGGTACTTTTCAGCAAAAATGTGGGGAATTGAGATAGGTCGAAGTTGATCTGGAACTCCTTGAATAGCCTGTTTCATGGAGAGATCATAGTCAATGGGGGAACTGTAGTTAGTAAAGCATACACGAGAGGGGTTATAGCAAGGAAGGCTAATATCCGATGACATATAATTAAGATAGATTCGCACGAATCTAGACTGGATGCTCAATTCGAGCATTTCTTCGAAGTTTTCAATCACAAGGTTGTTACTGACACTACATTTAATCAATATTCTTAATGAGAGCTCCCAGAAACGGTTCTGCAGGGGTTTTACGCCCGCTAGGACCTCTAGGCTCATATTGTGTGTTGAATGCATACAGCCAAGGGCAATACGTAAACAACGATATTGAATACGTTCCAATTTGATTAGGTGGCTTTTTCTTGCCGAGTTTTGAAACAAAACTCGAAGAAAACAAAGTGTTGTTTTCCGTATAGTGTCCAACAAATCAATTACCCCGGAAAACGCGTTCAATTCGGCGAAAGTGTTTTCAACATTAATCTATTTCCAGCGAGTAATGTTCTCCACCTAACGGCGAATCATGCCCACAACGGTGGAAGCGCAAGAGAAACTGCCTGAAACACGAGGAAGGGAATCCGCTACCGATGGCACTGTCAACAATGGTCACCCAGCGAAGACGGCGGCGGGTGCGGCTGTGGCCGAACCGATGAAACCAAAGGCCAAAAAGGAGAAGAAGGATGGAAGTGGTAGCAAGCGCAACAAGAAGGCCAAAAAGGATGTTCCGAAACCGCTGACGAAGGTTATTATCCGCCGGCTGCCTCCGTCGATGGATGAGGAAACGTTTCGGAAGCAAATCGATCCGATTCTGGATCATGACGATTTCTATTTCGTTTCCGGTGATTGGTCACTGGGGAAGAACGCTTGCTCTAGGGCTTACATAAATTTCACCCGGTCGGAGGATATCTATCTATTCAAGGACAAGTTTGATGGGTATATTTTTGTGGATGCTAAAGGGGTGGAGTTTCCAGCGGTGGTAGAGTTTGCGCCGTTTCAGGAGTTGCCGAGGAATCGTTCAAGAAAGAAGGACGTGAAGTGTGATACGATTGAGACGGATACTCACTTCATTGCCTTCAAGGAGGCACTGGAAGCGGAAGAGAAGGACACGGCTGGAAAGAGTAAAAGCAAGCTGAAGTTCACCTATAAGATTAAGGACGAGGAAAAGATTATATCGACGCCACTGCTGGAATATATAGCTCAGAAGAAGCAGGAGAAGCGAGAGGAGAAACGTAAAAAGATGGAAGAGAAGAAAAAGCAGCGGAAAGAGGATCGGCACAAGAAGAGCCAACCGGGGAAGGCAATCCCGGAGGTAATAAAAGAGGAGAAAGAAAAGGTAAAGGAGGAAGAAGTTGTGGTTCGAACGGTTCCGTCGAGGTTGGATCCGAACCAGGGAAAGAAGGATATACGTAAAAAAAGGAAAACTATATTCTGCGAAGAGCGACGACGGTGACCGACCGACTTGATGATTTATTTCGTACTGATAGGCAAACGTGATCAAAACAGACCTGCTACAATATGTGTGGATCGAAGAGAGGAGTACTGTAGTGTACTATCACCACTATCGCTAGGTTCCCCGTGTAGATATACGAGAGAGATAACCTACACCAGAGAATTTATGCTACACGGGGGGCGTTCAAAATGAAACTATCTAAGGATTTGTGTAATGTACCTAACATGCCGGCCACCTAAATTCTGTTAAAGAATTTACGAATCCAAAACCATCAAATACTTATTAACTAATACGCAGAGTTCATATCTTATTACTATGATTCTTCCTCGGGAGCTACGTTGCGCTGTCCGGGCTGGCAGCGTTTCCATCCTTCGGTCGAGACATTCTCAAACGGCAGCAAACAGACTCGTGAGGCTTGTCGCTTGTAGACAGCACCGTTGGGGGTTCGTAGCTTCACTACTCGGACCACACCATCGGGGCCAGGGAAGACTTCGGTGATTCGGGCTAGAGGCCACTCGATGGCCGTGGCTCCATCCTCCTTCAGGACCACCATTTGACCCACTTTCAGCAGGGTTGCTTGAGGGAATCGTTGGTTCTGATTGTGCAGCTGCGAGATGTACTCCCGCCTCCACCGCTTCCAATGCTGCTGTACGACTTGTTGCAGTTCCTGGTAGTGCTGTAGTCGATGCGTAGGGATATCCGTGTAGTCCGGATCGGGAATCGCCAGCAACGCCGAGCCAGTCAAAAAGTGTCCGGGAGTGAGCACGTCCAACTCATCAGGATCTTCAGACAGTGGTGTGAGTGGACGAGAATTCATGGCCGCCTCGATCTGCGTGAGAACGGTGGTCATGTCCTCGAACGACAGTTTGCGCTGGCCCAAGACTCGGAGCAATGACGTTTTGGCAGATTTCACGGCCGCTTCCCAAAGTCCGCCAAAGTTTGGTGCTCTTGGCGGGATGAATTTCCAAACGATGCCACGCTTAGAAGCTTCATTGCCGATTTCCGAGGTTGCAATTGGATCACACAGAAGGTCGTACAGTTCTCGTAGGTGGTTGCTGGCTCCTTGAAAATTCAGACCATTGTCCGAGTGGATCTCGGCAGGTAAACCTCGACGGGATACGAATCGTCGCAGCGCAGCTAGGAAGGCAACAGTGGTGAGGTCCCCCACCAGCTCGAGGTGAACTGCCTTCGTGCTGAAGCACACGAAAACCGCTATGTAGGCTTTCGGCGCAGCTGCTCGACGGTGTACTGGCTTTAAGTAGACAGGACCACAGTAATCTACACCAGTGACAGCAAACGCACGAGAGGGAGTTGTACGGGGTTTTGGGAGTTGACCAGGTGGTTGGGATACAGGGACAGGGTTGCTTCGAAAGCAGCGAATGCAATTTCGGAAAGTATAAGTTGCCAATGCCTTACCACGTAACGGCCAAAATTCTTGCCGGATTTGAGCGAGCGTCATTCGGGGGCCAGAATGGAGTGACAGGTTATGATATGCGACAGCTACCTGCCGCGAGAAGGAGTGGTTGCCAGGGATTATCATGGGGTGTCGAACAGCGTATGATTCGTCGGCAAGATTTAGCCGGCCACCAACGCGTATTATGCCTTGCTGATCCAGGAACGGGTAGAGTAGTTTCAACGGCGAGTGAACAGGAACGAGACGATGGTTGGCGAGTGCTTTGATTTCCGTTGCGAATGGCTCTCGCTGAACACACCGGACCAATGCGTACTTGGCCTCCTGCAGATCCTTCACGCTGAGATTTGGGGTTTTTTGGGATGTCCGGCGGCAGTTACGGATGAATTTCATGCAGTACGCTGTAATCCGCAAGAGTTTCCAATAGCACGAATAACGGTCCAACAGTGGGTGAGGTTGTGGAGAACTCACCGCCACAAATACGTTCTTTCTTTTCTCCAGCTGTTCCTCCGGCGGTTCCTCGTACTTCAAGTGCTGCTCGGTGTTCCAATGTTGATCAAGCAATGATAACCAGTGTGGTCCATGGAACCAGTGTTGCATATCAACAAGATCCTTCGGCATTACTCCCCGGGAGACAAGATCAGCTGGATTCTCCGTGCCTTTGACGTGGTTCCAGCGGTGACCTTTCGTTAACTCCTGAATGTGCGACACACGGTTAGCGACAAATGTTGGCCAAACGTACGCAGGCCGCTTCAACCACGATAGTACTACTGTCGAATCGGACCAGAACCAGGTTTCAGTTCTCTCCATACCGAGTGCTTTGACGGTCGAACGATATAGTTTTGCTGCTATGAAGGCACCGCATAACTCCAACCTTGCGAGAGTAGTCTTCTTCAAACTAGCTGGACGAGATTTTGCTGCCAGGAGCTCCACTTTTATCTGCCCCAGTTGGCTGATGGATCTAGCGAAAATGCACGCGCCGTACGCAGCTTCGGACGCATCCGAGAAGACGTGAAACTGAATCAGAATTGGGTGATTAGTGAAAGCGTGCCGATCCACTTTGATGTTGGAGAGAGCTGGCAGCTGCTGATAGAAATTCGTCCACTGATTAGCCAAGTCTGCAGGCAACGGATCGTCCCAGCCTTGAGCGGCTACCCACAGAAGCTGCATCTGAATCTTTGCCCACGAAATGACTGGAGCCGTGAAACCGCAGGGATCCCATAGTTGAGCGATGATGGAGTATACTTTGCGCCTTGTCCACTGTCCGTTTACAGTGAGACCCGATACATCTATGCCCAGCAAATCTGGCCCTGGTTGCCAGTGAACTCCTAGTGCTTTCACCTGTTCCTGATCGAAGTTGAGTGTAGATTGCGTTCCCAGTTCGTCTGCAGCCAGGCCCGCCAACACACTCTGGGCGTTGCTTACCCATTTTCGCAGTCTGAAACCACCTTTAGACATCAGCTGCTCCAACTCTTGTCGCAACAAGATAGCTTCGCTTTCAGAGTCCGCCCCTCCGATAAAATCGTCCACGTAGAAGTCATTCAAGAGCGCCGCTTTCGCTCGTGGGTATTGACTGCCTTCGTCGTGTGCCAGCTGCTGCAAACACCTCGTTGCAAGGAATGACGATGGGGCCAATCCAAACGTGACTCTGTTCATCTCGTAAGTTGAAATGGGCTCATTTGACGAGAATCTCCACAGAATTCGTAGAAGAGCAGCATCATCTAAATGCACCTTCACCTGCAGGTACATCTTTTCGATGTCAGCAACTAATGCGATGAAATATTTGCGAAATCGCAGAACCAAATCGAACAGGGGATCTTGAATCATTGGACCCGTCATCAACGCATCGTTTAGAGAATGGTTGGATGTAGTTTTAGCCGAACCGTCGAATACTGGCCGAACCTTCGTGGTCGAACTCGACTCTTTAATTACCGGATGGTGAGGCAGGTAACAAGACAGCCGTTTATCGCGCTTTAGCTCCTCCTCCGGTATTATCGTCATGTGTTCCTGGTCCAAGTACGTCTGCATCGCCTCGTTGTAACGCTTGCGCAACTCTTCGTCCTTATCCAGTCGCCGTTCTAGCTGCACAAGTCTTCGCAGAGCCATATCCTTCGATTCTCCGATCATCCGTTCGAATCCCATTTGTTTCGGCAGACGCACAACGTACCTCCCTGTGGCATCTCGAGAAACAGTTGCCTGAAAGTGCTCCTCGCAATCCTGCTCTTCTTTGGTCCTCCTTGGTACATCCTGCATCTCTTCAATTTTCCAGAACCGTTCGATCTTCTCCTCTAGAGTCGTGTCAACCGCCACGTGGCAACATGGGACTGGGTTAAGACTGCCCAAATCCGCTTTGCCAGCTGCTATCCACCCAAAGACGGTATTAACGAAGAGGGGGAGACCTTCACCTTCAACTGCACCTGTCGTAGAAATACCAGAACCGCCCGTTTGCGATTGTTCAGCAGCTTGATCTCCGGTCACCGACCCAGTTCCAGTTGCCGCTAACCCCGGATGGAGTAAAGTATGGTGTTTTTTGCTGTAATGGTCACGCCGAAGGCAATTACTGCACAGCTTCTTTGAATTTACTATCTGGAACCGTTTATCCAGTGTCAGCTTCGTAAAAGCAGGGCAGTTGGAGATATAGTGCGAACCACTACATGACACGCACTTCGGTGACGAACTCTCCGACGCTGCGTGGACCGATAACTTGGGCGCAGGCTTTTTGAACGGTGCGAATGGAGTGGAGAGTGGAAACCGTGGACCTTCGGAACGTTGATCAACCGCAATCGCATCCAGAATGCGGGTTTGGCCTTGCAGAAACTCCATCACGTGTAGAAATGCAGGATCCTCCTTCTTCAGCGCGTACTCTTCCCAGTCCTTCTGCGTCACGTCGTCCAGCTTCGACACCAACAGCTGCGTCAGCATCGCTCCCCAGCCTGCAGTCACTTCCCCTAATTGATCCAAGATCTTAGTGTGCCGATCGAATGCATCGATAACATCATGGATCCCACTTGCAGAAACCTTCTTCAACTTCGGAAACTGCAGAAGAGCGTTGACGTGCCGTTTCTTCTGCAGATAGACGTTTGAATAACGTTTGGTCAAAGCAGACCAGGCAACCCCGTAGCTGGCTTCACTCATTGGGAAGGAATCGACAACCTTGAGTGCCTCACCCTTTAGAGACGCTCGCAAGTAATGGAAGCGCTGAATCCCACTCAAATCTGGGTTGGTGTGGATCAGCGATTTGAAAGTGTCGAAAAAAGGCAACCATTTGTCAAATTCCCCATTGAATTCTGGCAAATTTATCTTCGGCAGTTGTATGCCGGCACATGCCTCCACACGTGCGCTAGTGGAGGCAGAACGAGGGGAGGACGGGGAGGTGGTGGATGGCAACTTCGCTTTCAACCCTGCCCTTACCTGGAAGTACAACTCCTCGAACTCGGCTCGGGTCTGCTTGTGTTGATCTGTTTTCTCCTCATGCTCCTCCATTTCCTCTATTTGCGACTGGATGTCCTCAAATTCGTCCCATTTCTCGTCCAGCCTGTTGATGCGAGCTTGCACCTGGAGAGCATGAATCGCCGGGTCGTAGTTCTTC